TGATGATGGTTATTGACAGATGAGGATGACATCCAATGAATTCTTACATTATATATATCGTTATGCCTGCGAGTCCACAGCGAACGTCGATGCCTCTGAAAAAGGCAATCTGTGTCAAGGCCAGCACGCGAGCCCTCCTGACGCGATGAACAACTCAACGGCGTCATCACGCGATGGTGCCTTTCTGCCGCGCACGCGCAGTGAGTCACCTCAGCCAGCGAGCCGGCGCCTTCCTGACTGGCGAGTCTGACGCAATGCGTGGCGACGTCACTCGTCCTTGGGTACAGCCACGTGCAGCGCAGCGGCTCCAGATTCGATGAGAAAGACGCGGCCCAGCGGCGACCCCATTGGAGGAGTCTGACCTCACGACCAGTGGCGCTTTTGGTTGGACATTTGGTTACTCAAAGAATCCACCCGGTGCATATAAAGGAAGCCCTGCGGCGCGTCGCGCGTCACGAGCAGTTGACCTATGCGTTAGAGAGGAGAGCTCGGCTCTTCAGGTCTCTAAGCTGTCGGCCCCAGTGCCGAATTTGTAATGCCTCTGTATATATGCAGTACATAAACCTTGTTTAACTCACCGTCGTCTCGTCCACTCGTCTATCAGCTCTGCGAAGAAGCAGTCGCGAGCTGAGAAACCTATGCTACCAAACGGCTGGTGACCTTCCCTGCGGAGTTCGAAGCAGTGGCACCTTCGGGACCGTGTGGGCGTCGCCGTCTTTCGAAACAATGGTGGCAGCGGTGAGATTCGTGGCGCCCTTCGTAACGTCGTCGGAGGCGCGCTTCGCAACAGTGGTTGGCAGCTGCGAGATCGGCTGGCGTCAGCGACATCGATGCAGTGAGTGCCTGATGTTTTCCCCTCAGTTCACCAGACTACTCTGTCTCAGGTTTTAGTAGTTTAGAGAAGGGCTGTGTGAAGCATTAGATTGAGCGTTGATTGTTTCAAGCAAAGTCAGAGTGCTTTGAAACCAAAGTTAATGCGTAGGGGGTAAAGACGGGACTGTTAAAAATTGCCTGTGCGTCTTGCTAGCTAACTTATAGTGGGTACGGCAAGTAAATTCTTAACAGGGGCAAACAGCAAGAGGCTAGTGTGAACGATGGAGAACCTGAAAGTGAAGCAACTCAGCGAAATTTGTGAGAAACCCGGCATTACTTTTGGCCGTGCGAAACGAAAGCAAGCTATCCTTGAGATCATGAGGAATGAAGGAGTTCCGGCTGAGGAAGTCAATTCGGCCTGGGAGGTTATCAAAGCACGCCGCGAGGAGGCTGAAAGGCGCGAACGTCACGAGCGCGAGGAGGCCGAGAGACAGGAGCGCCTCGAGTTGAAACGAATAGAATTGGCAATCCTACAGTGTTTGCAGGCGCCCAGCGTTGCTTCTCCGACGATTCAGGTAAGTGGTTAGAGAATCCGGGACCAACTGCCACCGTTCGTAGTACGCTAGGACATGGCGAAGTTCTCGTCAAGTTTGAACAAGTCTGTGAGCGAAATGCTTTGGAGCGGTCTCTTTGGGCGCAGAACCTGTTAGCTCTTCTTCCTGGCGAAGAGTCCGACGCGATAACTTGCTTGTCGAGGGAAGCGTTTCAGAGCTATGACGAGGTTAAGGAAGTGCTCTTGAGACATTATAAGTTGTCACCCCAGGCTTTCAGGCAAAGGTTTTGGTATTCTAAAAAGGGGAATGGGTCACACGTTGACTTCGCATTTCGTTTTAAAGCCGATATAATTGAATGGCTCAAGGGCAAAAGTGTTTATGACGACCGCGATGAAGTGGTAGAATGCATTGCATTGGAGCAATTCTACCGCTGCATCGAGGATGATGTCAAGCTTTGGCTGCAGGACAAACTTGGTGAAGTACACCAAAACAAGGCAGCAGAGTTAGCTGAGGAGTATTATACTCGCCGAAAGTTGCATAGCAGGGCAGTGCGCGTTGCAAAGGACGAAAGGAAAGAAGGCTTTTTAAAGAAACCTGATCAACGGAAACCCGCTCCGCACCGTAATTTCAAAAATGACCCGTCTCTTACGAAGGACACTGTATGGGAAGGGCAAACGGAAGTGGAGAAATTGAGTGAGGTTCCTAAACAACGCGCTGATACTACACGGGCGTTTGAATCACGGAAGCCGCTAATCTGGTACAACTGCAAAAAGGAAGGGCACATGGCGATAAACTATAAGCAAAAGTTTGCTTTTGCAGCAATCCGAGAATCGGAAAAGAACATGCGGTTGTTAGAGCCATATATCCAAGAAATTAGTGTGAATAGGAAAACGTGTCGAGCACTTCGTGACTCAGTGGCAACCATGGACGTTGTCCATCCTTCATAGGTGTCTCCAGTGACTTCACAGGAGAATGCGCGTGGATCAGGCAAGTCGCCGAGGAGCAGAGTGCTTGCTTACTAATCGCTACGGTTGTCATTGAAGGCCCGTTCGGTAAGCTTCGCACCGAAGCGGCTGTGTCTGCCGCGCTTTTTGATCATTTTCCTTATCTTTTCTCTAACAACTCAGAGCAGCTTCTGAAAGAGCAGGGTAAATCCTTCTTCCTTACCTTAGCGTACATGGCTCTCACGCGATCGCAAGCGCGGAAGCTTTCGCGGGAGCTTGATCTTGTTCAATGTGGTGAACAAGTTCAAAAGCAGCAGATCTGTGTTACCTTGGCGACGAGTCGACGGAACCTCAGACACAAATTCTCCGTGTGAGTCATTTGAGCTGTCACTCGAGCGGCCCGTCGCTGAAGCGACTGGCGCGGTTTCCGTAGTAGAGGGAGACGACATGGCGCCATTGAGTCAGAGCGAGAGGGGTGCAACGCTCTCGCCTGTAGCGGAAAGTTGGAGTGAGCTGTCGAGGGTTGATCGAGAAACGCTCGTTCGAGAGCCGCGTGAGGACCTCTCGATAAAAGCGCTAATGGAAAGCGTAAACGTAGGAAAAAAGAAAAAGAATGTTTCTTTTTTTTGAGAAAGCAGGGCTTTTGTATCGGAGCTACACAAATGCGCAAGGTCGCAAGTATGAGCAGCTCTTGGTGCCACAAAAGTGTCGTCGCCAACTATTGGAACTGGCGCATGAAAACGCATGAGCGGTGCATCTTGGCATAAAAAAGACCAAGGCTAGAGTTTCCCTTGAGTTTTATTGGCCGAAATGCTGGAAGGATATTGAAGACTTTGTACGCTCATGCGACACTTGTCAGAGAGCGGGGAAATCCACGGACAAGTGGAAGGCACCCATGAAGCTTGTGCAAATTATTACAGAACCTTTTCGGCGCCTAGTAATTTATATAGTCGGGCCATTGCCACAGTCAAGGCAAGGTTGTCGGTACATCCTGACGGCTCTCTGTGTAGCCACAAAATTTCCGGAAGCGATACCACTTAAGGAGCTCCATTCTCCTCATGTCGTGGATGCACTGCTATCTATATTTGCACGCGTCGGATTTCCTTCTGAAATCCAATGCGACAATGGTAGTGTCTTTACCAGCTGCCTTACCTCTACCTTTATGGATAAATGTGGAATAAAAGTAGTGCACAGTTCGACTCATTACCGCAATCTAATCTCTGCTACGAGCATAAATGCTACTGGGAAGCGTGTATTGCCCCCGCTACAACATAGAAATGTCACGTCATTCTCAACAGGCCTCCAAAACTGAACCATTCAATAGGGGCCCCGCCTTTGCATAAGTCATGCAATTTCTTCTACTAATGCTTTTTGCTGCACTTAAAAGAATCCTGCCTGCTTTACCGGAAGCAACTTGCCAGACCCTGCTGCCTCTGAAAGCACTATTATGTCAACAATCCGGGTCAAACCTGCAACAAGTAACATATAAATAAGCGCTATAAAAATGTCTCCGTATACTTGTGGAACGCCAAAAGTCTTCGGAGGAAGTGTGCTGACTTTCGTAAACTCCTTTTGCATGTAGCCACGTTCCATTTCCCAAGTTTTTTTATCGTCCCAAAACACTACACAATTCTCAGTGCAAACCACGCCTGTAGTTTTCGAGAAGCTTCCGGATGGTAGTAGATCATTTCGATAAGATCACGCCTACACTGTGAACTGTACAGATTATTCTGGAACCTAAGCCACCGCCAGCGATAACGCTAGAACATTCGACCTCCAGAGTATAAATGCCGACGTGCTTCGCCGCTTGTCAGTACATGATCGACGGCCGACACTTCCTTCACTGCTATCTGGTGCCGGGGCAATCGCTTTTCGGCTTTTGGATTTCACGGTCAGACCAGGTCCTGCCGGCTTCGCTGCCTCGTGCGAGCAACTGCCACCTCTGGGCCTCGGGCTTTCCAGCCCGGAGCCCCCTACCCCTATGCCAGGAGGACCACGGTTGCCGGTCCACGCTACCTTCCCGGAGCCCACCTGCAGCCCACCCGACTCCACCTGATCCCGAGTGGCGTCTCCCCAGGCTTAGCCGCAGATTTACCAGAGTGCAGCTCCACTGCACGCTACTAGTTTTCTACAAGTCACGCCCCCTTCTGCTGGCGACCGTCCCTCCAGAATCACGGCCACTACCGACCTACCAGTGCGGGAGAACTGCTTCTTCTTCACAGCGCTGGACGGCGACGTATCCCTTGATGATCTTATAGACGCTATTGAATTAGAAGCTGGTGATGATAGTGTTCTTGTTATGCAGCATATGGGCGGGGCCAAGTTTCTCATCTGAACACGTAACGCCAGCCAGGCAACAAAGTTAATGGTGGCGGAAGGTTTCAAGGTTAATGTAGTAAGCGTACCGGTTGAGGCCGTCGGGCCGCCGGTTACGTACGTCAACGTCTACCGATACCCCGCCTACCTGTCTGACTAGATACTTGGCAACGCCCTAGCACAGTACGGTAAGGTGCGGGGCATCTCGTTTGCTACTGTGGCCACCCGCCAAAATAAGTTGAACGGCGTCAGAGTCATAAAAATCGAAATGAGTAAGCCGGTGCCTAACTTTGAGACCAGCGCGTGGCACCGGGTAATGTTCGAATATAGAGGCATGAGGCGGGTGTGTGCGCGATGTAGTGAGGTGGGCCACATGGCGACCGCATGCTCCGCACCATACTGCAAACGATGCGGAACTTTCGGTCATGAAACTGGGGGCTGTTCTGCCGAATGTAAGCGTTGCGGGGGTCACCACGGAACAAAAGAATGTTTTAGGAGGCGCTCTTATGCGTCAGCCGCTCGTGGGTTCCCCTCGGCATCGGACCTCGCGTCGAACACGGTCCAGCCGAGTGGCTCCCCGTCGCAGAAGCCAGGCGAACCCCCCTCTCGCTTACAAGTGCCCGTACCCAGGACCACGGCCCGCGCCCCCGCAAGGCCTCCCTCCCCCCAAGGACGCGAAACGGATGCCAGCTTGCTCACAGGAAGCACTGCGGTGGACTCATCCGCCAACGAGGAAGACAAGCCCGAGAAGACTGACGATGCCGCTACCATGTCATCGGAAACGGAATCGAGCGACCTCGAAACCGTCTCGGCCCAATCGTCTCCGTCTATGCAATTCGTCCCCCCTCAGGCCAAGATGAAGGCCACAACTTCCCGGTGCTTGCCGAAACTTTCAAGCGAAGTGAGTCCCCCCCAACCGCCTCCCAAACACCCGTTAACGTGTTGGCCCGAGTGTGCGCCCAGGACTTCGGCGACGCTACCAAATGACCCCGCCAAGGACGAATTGCCCATCGTGAGCCGCGGGTATTACGCGCTACCTGACGACCAAGACCATGCTCAAATAAACCAGCCCCTCTCCTTTGAGCCCCCCTTCGGTAAAGCGTCGCCCTACACAGACCGCCAACTTGACCCACTCGAGTCCCAGCGGGTGCCAGGCCGCGAGCAGAGAGCTCGTTCGCGCTCGCGCCAACGCCAGGGAGAGGAGAACAAGAAAGAAACGAGAGGGAGAGCCACAAGCAGAGAGGCGCGACAACGCCGAATTGGGCCAGAAGCGATGGCGAGCGACAGCGATGCCCCACCGACGGCGAAGACGCAGAAGCTCGGCCAAAGCGCCGCAGGCAGAGGGGAACCGCCCCCTAAAGCCAGCGAGCCGATCTGATAACACCTTCGCTTCTTTACAGACGGCAGTGCCCGTTAGCGCGGGCGCCGCCGTTTACCCCTTCCTGTTTCACTCCCCCATGCGCTGCCTCCCCTTGCCCCCACCCCTCCCTTCCACACGCTCACGTACCCCCCTCGTTTCCACTCCACCCTAGTGCGACTGATGGGTGACCGAATCCGTTTCGCCACTTGGAATGTTCGCGGTTTCCGCGACACGATGAAACAAACCGCGGTCGTTTCCTTTGCGAAAGCCCGCAGCATCGACTTGTTGTTTGTCCAGGAGACGAATTTCCGATCCCCCCTCAACGTCGCTCGCTTCCGCAGCCTCTGTCACGTCGAAGCCTTCTTCTCATTGACGAGGACCAGGTCATGCGGGGTTGGAGTTGTGTTCGTCACCGGGAGGTTTAGGCAAAAAGCCCATTGCATGTTTGGCGCTGACGGCCGCAGAATAATGCTTGACATCTTCATCGATGGGCAGAAAGTCCGGTTTGTGAACGTGTACGCGCCAGTAACTAGATCGAAGATGAACCCCTTTTTCAGGGAGCTCGGCGAGTACCTCCTGGCCCCCCTCCCGCACGTAGTCCTTGGAGACTTTAATTGTGTGGTCGACACTGCGAGGGATATCCGGGGACCAAGTTGCGGAGGCTCAGCCTGCCGTGCAAAAGAACTGATAAAAGTTCTCGAACGCTTCCGACTTTCAGACGCCTGGGTCCGCCTCCACGACGACGACTTCGGCCCCACCCGCGTGTCGAGGGTCACCGCTAGCCGGCTAGACCGCGCGTACTTACCGGAGCTCCTACTTCCATCCCTAACAGCGTGCGAGGTGGTCCCGTTGCCACCCCCTCAGGCAGCTGTGTCTGATCACGCGTCACTGCTAACAACCCTCCGTGCAAAGCCTGGCCCCAAGCCAGCCAACGCATCGTGGCGCCTGGATTCTGCACTACTAAAGGATCCGGTGTCTGCACCACAAATCGAGACCCTCATAGAGGCCTCGATTAGAGCATCCGCCCGCGTAACATCGACTACCTGGGACGACCTCAAGGAGGCCTGGAAGGAGGCCTGGAAGGAAAAAGCGCTTGGACGTCCCCGATGAATGAGTTACTGCACAGAATGCGTATCATTCAGAGTGCTGACACCCTCACCTCCTGTACACGAGATTACCTAGCCTCGCTCAAGGTGCAGTACGAAAGGCTTCTCGGACAGCTACGGGCGAAAAGTGCGCGACTTGGGCCACCTCGAACGAGCGGCCAGAGGTAGTCTCGCGCGAAGTAAGGGGAAACGGCTCTGTGCGTATTGCAGAAGTAAAGCGCCCAGATGGTACCCTCACGACAGACCCGGTCGAGATCGAGGCGACCTTCTTGCACCACTTCGAGACAGCCTTTCACGAGCCGGACGCCACAATGATCGCCTCGGAGCCAGCGTCCCTGTCGGAGCTGTGTAAATTCCTTAAGCGTCTGGAAGAGGATGAATGCCTGACTATGTGCGGCGCAGCGACGTTACTGGAATTGAGGACCGCTATCCAGTCAATGCCACCAAACTCAGCTCCCGGTGCGGACGGCCTCACAGCGGGCTTCTGCGCCACGTTTTTTGAGAGCCTGTGAGAACCGCTCCTAGCCATAGTCAACACCGTCCTCGAGGGACACGCGAAACCTGCCTCCTTCGGCATGGGGCGCATAGTCCTCATTCCTAAAAAAGGTGCACCGCCGAACGACCCTGCTTCTTGGCGCCCGATCACGTTGTTAAATGTAGACTACAAGATCGTGGCGTCAATCTTGAACAGCCGACTGAAGACCTTTCTGTCGGATATTATTGCTCCACACCAGGCTTGCGCAGTCCCGGTCAGATCAATGTTCACTAACCTGACCACGACAAGGGACGTGCTCCAGTACGCTTCGGAGAAAAGAGTCACTGGAGCCTTTTTTTCACTTGATCAGGCCAAAGCTTTCAATAGGGTCAGGCACGCCTACCTGTTCGAAACCCTGCGAGAGTTTGGCCTACCGGCAAGCTTTGTACAAGTGATAAGGCTCCTGTACTCAGACCTCAGGTGCCACGTAGTAGTAAATGGCTCCACGACGGACACGTTTCAGTACACGAGAGGGATCAGGCAGGGGTGCCCGCTTGGCACAACCCTCTTTGTACTCGCGATAGAGCCGCTACTTACATCCCTGGCAAGCGACGCGCATATCCGGGGCCTTCCTCTCGCAGGAACTGCGGACCTGAAAGTCCTCGCACACGCTGACTATGTCTCCCTTTTTGTGCGAGATCCAAGCAGGCTCGAGCGCTTTCACCAGGTATTCGCGTCATACGCCCTAGCATCAGGTGCACAGCTAAATGAAAGGAAGTGTAAAGCCTTCCTATTCGGCCATTTCCCGGCGCACGTGATCGGCAACTTCGAGGTAGTCACCGCTGTTAAGGTCCTCAGTATATACTTTTCCCGCGAGGGAGTTACCGCCTCAACGTGGTCTCGAGTCGTGGACAGGGCTGCACAAGTGTCAGAGAGCGCTAGCCTTCAAGGCCTGACGCTATACGAGAAAGCAGTAGCCGTCAAAACAAGCATTTGCGCCCTAGCCTCGCATGCGAGCCCAGTAGCGGTGATGCCCACAAGAACAGCAAGCCAGTGGACCAAACTCATTAACGCATACCTCTGGGATGGGAAACCGCCACCATTGAAGCAAAACTTGTTACAACTGGCAGTGTCAGAAGGGGGTCTCGGCCTACCACATGTGTTGACCACGAGCAGAGTCCTGGCCCTGAAAACCGCCCGTATGCACGCGCGCGCCAGCGATTACCTAGGGCGCAAACTACTCCTCTACTGGAGTGGAGTGAAGCACGACTGGCTGGATACAGGCCGCCACACCAGGCCCTTTGCTGAGGCACCCGCGCCCGTCTATAAAACGGCGTCGGCAACCTGGCGCATGTTGAGGCAAGAAGTGCCCGATAGCGATGTGGATGAGGACCCGCCAGCGCGCATCGTTGAAGCCATCACGCGAAAGCAGCTTAGCGACACTGAACAAAAACGAGCTGAGCTCGCGAGGCGCGAATTACTCTCACTCCGTTGCGGCACCCCCCGTAATGCACAGGATTTCCTCCTGAAAAAAACCTGGGCCGTCCTCCCCACCAGACAACGCCTGCGTAAATTTGGAATAGTCCCCGATGCACGTTGCCCGAACTGTCACGCAGTTGAATCGCAGGATCACGCGTTGTTCCAATGTGTGGCGGTGAAACCCGTCTGGCGGATGGTAGCCCACTCCTTTGGTATCCGCCCACCTCCCCACCACAAGCGCAACAAAGGTGCCTTCTGCCAACTTGTGCTGATCTTCACGATGCTAGTTATTTGGCAAAGGAGATCGCTAGCGGAGACGCGTAGAAAGCCCGTGCGGAGCGCGTTTCCGGTAGTCTCGCGTATAGGGCGGTTGCTATAGGCCCACCTATCCGGCGAACTTGAGGCCAGCGGCGAGGAAAACTTCCTTCGTCGCTGGCATACCAAATTCTTTTTTCTGAGGAATGGCAAGCTAGCCGCCCCAATCACTACCTGGTGACCCCCCCCCTCCCGCCGTCTAGCACATGCAGAAGGGGACTTGTGTACATATATATATATATATATATATATATATATATATATATATATATATATATATATATATATATATATATATATATATATATATATATATACATGTATGTCTGTATCACTTTTTTATTACATCACCCCATTGTCGTTGTTATTTGTAATCGATTCGGGCAAAGTGTGCTGGTCGACCCTTGAGTTAATTTTTGTATAGCGCTTCTTCATCGATTGGCGCCTTCAGTCAGTTTTTTACGCGCAGATTGTTGCTGATGCCTTATTTGGGGGAGACAAGAGCCCCCCCGCTTCCTTGTACCCCCCCCCCCCTCCTGCGCCCTCCAGCCTCAAGGCTTCTTTTATACTTCCGGGCATGCACTTACCGTGTACGAAAGTAGCATTGTTTCAGGAGACAAAAAAGAAATATTACCTAGAGTTGTACAGCGCTATGTCGCTAATTGTTCCAACCACGTGTTGAGAAGACCTACCGCCGCGCATGATTAAGCCTGCTGGAGCACCACGCGCTGTAGAGTAAATAGAGGGGTACATTCCCCCACATACATTGTACCTCGGTAGTGGTGCTTTCCTGATTGTACATGCACCCTTTGTAGTCGTGAAGCTCGATGTTTTTGTCATGTACTTTATTCTTGGTTGGAAGTCAATAAACGTCTCTTTGTTGCTATCAGTGCAACTGCTACTGTAATCGAACTTTCCGTTTAACGGGCACAGGTTCGCCCAAATAAACAGTTAAATCCCAACATAAAGTCTTCTGTCTTTGGCCACGTCATGAACCCGTCACAATACTTTGCATCCAGGAGGCAGGAATGAATTATGATTTCCGCCTCTCTAACTACGTGATATATAAATCATCTAGTCGAAGTGGTTCTAGCAGAGTGCATCTGTACGCCAGAAAGGACCTACCTTCTCACCAAGCTCGCTCAAGTGATTGGCGCTTCCCGGAATTCGTCACTTGCAAAGTATCCTTTGGTAAGCAGTGCATAACAGTGATCAATTTTTACCTACAGCCTTAAAGCCACATTTCGGTGGAAGAGCCAACAAATATTTTCAATACTTACAAATAATATACATTTAAAAGTGGAGACTTTATAGCACACAGCATAATCTGGGGTAGTGATCGATGTGATGCACGGGGGAACGTTGTTGAGTGCGGCGCAGTCAAATGCAATTTGACAATTTTAAATGAAGGCTTTCCAACTTTTCTCCGAGGGCATAATTACTCGGGTTGCATCAATGTCCCCATGTGTTCTCAAGATCTAGTCATTGGTGTGGGATGGACAACGGATGTAGAAACACGTGGGAGAGACCATTTTCCCATCCTTATAAATCAGCCTTACTAGCGAATTGACGACATCAAACTGACGAACTGGAACGCTTTTCGGTACTGCCTAACAAACGAAAATAGTGAACTTACGACAGTT